CTGCTCGTATTCCCTTGAGTTTCATCTTGTCTGAATAGCCTTGCCATGCCAAAGTCTGCGATTTTAGGGTTCATCGAACCATCTAAAAGTACATTGTTCGGTTTTAGATCACGGTGAATGATCCTAAGCTGAGAATCTTCATGCAAGTACAAAATTCCCCTTGCTATGCCTCCTATGATCTTGTACCGTTTCTCCCAATCTAAGTATGAGCGTTTGACCGTGTCTGCATGTAGAGAAAATTAGTTTGTAATTTCTAGTCAATCTCTAATCATATTAACTTTTTAACAAAAATTGTTAAATTGATCATATTACCAAATATAAATTGATCCAAGCTCGCATTCTGCACGAATTCGTACACAAGAAGCTTCTCTGTTCCTTCAAGGCAATAGCCCAAAAGTCGAACCAAATTCCTATGTTGTAGTTTGGCTAACAATAAGACCTCATTCTTGAATTCTACATCTCCTTGTCCCGAGTTCTCAGCCAATCTCTTCACTGCTATTTCTTGGCCATTCGGAAGTAGGCCCTGGTACATATGAGAGAATACTCAGTTTCATTTATTTGTTTTGTGGTTATACTCGAAATTGTTGCATCAGGGCTTTCACTAAAATCTTTACCACATTAGTATATACCGAATTACCTTGTAAACGGTGCCAAAACCACCCTGACCGAGCTTGTTAACATCCGCGAAATCATTTGTGGCTTCTCTAAGTGTGGTTAAGGAGTATTTGAGAGATTCGACGGAGTTGCTAATATCGTCAGCTTCAAATAATTGACAGACAAAAACTTGGTTGAACATCAAGAAAACGTAAAAGATTTCAACAGAAGAAATCAAAGTGCACTTACTCTGATGTTGTTCCTCTGGTTGTCGTTTTACTCTCTTCCTCGTTAACAGGACACATGCAAAAATCGCTAATACGATGCAAGCCGCAACTGATACGACAACAATGATAGCCGTTCTGGTCGTATTATTGCCACCACCTGTTCCTGCAGAATTTGAAATAGTCACCAAAACAAATACTCATTCTGTTTTGTCTTTGAACAAAACTGCAAATCCAAGATGCTTAAAGGATTGAAAGTGCAAATTCCACAAGATGTAAAATCATGTTGGCAATTTAGAGATAAAATCGTCCAATACCGGGAGGCGGTGGCTGGGGCTCCACCGGCGCTGGAGGCAGAGGGGCTGTGACAGGCGGCTCAAGCTCCTGGAGCCTGGTCAAGTTATAAAAGGAATCCGTCTCATAGCGTATGTTGCAGCTGGGCCACAACACTCTAGCCCCTCTCCTACTGTCGCAGCACCTCGGAATATCCTGAGCCGCACCAATCAGGCACCGGCTGCAGTCGTCTGCCGTAAGATCCGGCGTGCACTGGACTAGCGCAAAGATGAACTGGAAATCGGCGGCCGAGACATTCCCGGCCGCCACCTTCCGCCGGGACCCTCCTTCCGCCGCCCGGCCACGAAGACCGTCGATCAGCGTCCTGAGGTCCTGCATGAAGAGGGTCGGGTTCGTTGCGTTCTGCATGTTCCACAAAAACCAGCCGGGCGGGGAGGGAGCCATGATCCCGTAAAGGGTCTCGTTGGAGTAGCGGAGCATGCAGAACTCGGACCATGAGACCGCCTGCCGCTGGTTGGGGCACGACGTCAGCAGTTGGGAAGTGGTGTTCCGGATGCAGACTCGGCAGATCTCGGGCTGG